TAATAAAATTAATAATTAATTAAACACTTTAATTAATTAATTAATTCCATTAATTCTAATAGTTACTCCACTATAAACTTGGAATTGCACTCTCAAAATTATAGACATAATCTTCACCCTTGAGTACCATTGATTCTCTAATGGATAGTGATTCATAAAACACATTCATGAACCAGAGCGCTCTTACTAATCCAAGTACTGAATCAACACTCAAGAGAATTACTTATCTGCTTCTTTCTCAAGAAGGAATGGATTCCATCTCGTATAATAACATTCTCGGCTACCTATTTCATCATGTCTCCAAAATACAAGGAATAGGATTCAGGGTCTCAAAATCCGTACCGAGTAAATCAAAAGACACAAATCCATAAATAGGAGTCTGTTAAGAACTCAGGATTAAGATCATTCTATATATGACCATTAGTAGACTCAATTAGAATTTCTAACCTTAACAGAAATTATTAGAAATTCATATTGTGTCTGTGTCCCTGTTCCACATAATCTCATTATGCGTAATACACTCATTCAATATCTCTCTATATTAATAGTGCGGATAACATTATTCCATTCGAAATGGGAATGACATGTATTACTAATGTTTTAATTAAAGATTCAGAACTTTAATCAAATTCATTATGAACATCACTTTTTGATTATTATCCTTAAACATTATCCTCTCGCATATAACACTTATATACAATGTTTAAGGTCACGTAAATAATCATGGAATTTTCATTGATATTCATAAAATATTCACAAATATATAAAGACATAAAATGATGAATAAACTCTTTTATTAAATAAATAATAAATGTCCTATTACATCTCATGCTTCTAGGACACCATTCCCAACATTACTTATAGCGGGTGAACCAGGTTGAAGAGATCATTCTCGACGACCCCGTTTACCAGCCCTGATTAGTTTGCTCACATCTCCTGTACCATATTTTCATGTTATGTTTTCTTTGCTTCTTTTTACATTTTTTTTAATGTATGTTTTTGGAGAATCAAAGCTCAGGCTGTGCTCATATGTGGAATGATCATCGTCTAGGTGTCTTCTTTCTCTATATTTTCATAATTCTTGACACTGAGGACACTATCTGATTTTGGTTGGGAGTGGTGAGCATATTCATGCATAAGAGTGATTTTTGTCATGTTGATATTTGGGTTAAAATTTTTGCGCAGTTATCTGAATATGATTTCAAAATGTTTGGTTTGAGTCAATTTTCACTGTCTTGGTTACTAAGAAATGACTTCCAGAGTTTTTTTTTTTTTTTTGCACGTGCAAACCCTTATGGTAAGATGGATGTTAATGCATGTCAGCTGAGAAAATTCTCGAGTTTAAGTGCTTAATTTTTGGTGAGTTAAGAGAGTAGAGAAAATGACTTTTAAACCTTCATTGATCTTTTGAGCTGGTAAAATCACTGTTAGAACATCATTACATGGTTAGTGGTATGCTTGGTGCATATGCTTAAGGGATGGATTTTGGGTTAGATAGGAATGATCTTATGTAATAGAGCCTCATTTCTTATCTTTCATAAAAAAAATAAAAATAAAAAAAAAATTGAGCAAAAGTAACATTTCACAGATCGTGTAGTTTGGTTGTAATCACATTTGATGCTATATAGTTGTTCGTCAAAAAAAACACCTTTCTACATTCACTTCATTATTGCAGGTTGTCTCTTGCCAAAAGAAAAAAAAGAGTAATTTATTTTCCTATGCATTTTTTATGGCTCTTTGTTCATTTCTGTAAATTTCCGTTTGACCTGAATAAAATCCCAAAAGCCGGTTTGTGATAAGAATGGTGGAATGTTCTAGTAGTTGATTAACCTATCTTTTGATCAATTTTTGTTTGATTGTTTGTCCTAAATTTTACCTTCCTCACACTGAGCATTGATGGTTCCATTTCCAACTCCATGAGAGAAAACCTTTGCACTCAAATATTTCTGACACCTATGAGATCAATGGAGTTGAGACTTCTACTTGGTGAATTTTTTAAAGATGCATGTGTTATGGTCAGTGGTAAGAAGGTTATGGTTTGGAGCGCATACACATGACTCTGCAGTTATGACTAAAATAATCTTGACATCATCTTTTGACTTTTTACGGACACTTTGTTTGAAATACTCAGGTGACTAAGCGAGTTGAGACTCATATTTTCTTTGTGACATGATTTCTCTTGCGCTTGGATTGCTAGAGACTACCAATAAGCAGCTTGGGGGTTGTGATTAGTGCACGAAAATGCACCCTTAATATTGCTTTTGATTTATATAATATTAAAATATTTAAACTTAATTAAACAATTCCATTATTTTTATTCATAATATTTTAATTGGAATTTGTCTAGTTTTTGCTTAAATATTTACAGATAAAAAGCAGTGTGAAGAGCTACACAAGAAGATACCGTTTTCATCCTATTTAGGCCACTAAGCCGAGCCACACAAGCCATATTAAGAGAGAAAGAAGCCACCCAGCCGAGCCAAGCCACTCATCATTTCCCTCCGCGTGGGCACCTTCGCATCAGCCCCTTCAGCTCGTCCACGCGCCCGTCTCCAAAACGGCATCAGGGAAGCAGGCTCATCACTATCACTCCACAGCCAAGCGCGTCTAACTCCTCAGAAGCGTGAGTCCCGCGTGTCAGCATGCCAGCCCAAGCCTTTCTCTGTGCGTGACATCTGTCCCCAAGCTGTCCTCCACTCTGACCGCGCCAGCACACGCCAACCACTCCGAACGTGACACATGGCGAGTTGACTCCTCTCATCCAATTGTAATGCGACACATGTCTTCTATGGTGTTGAATCAGAATTTCTTCCCCAAAAATCAGAGTAAATTACCGTATTTCCTCCTCAAATCATATATCTAATTTCTCCAAATTTATGTGTAATTTTATGTTGTTTCCTTTTCTTTTGTAATTTTCTATTTTTATTGTTTGTTTCCGTATTTGATAGGCAACCTTTGAACACTATAAAGAGGGGGGTTAGCCTAAGGTTTTGGAAGCTTTGAATATTCAGTTTTCTGTCGTCTTGCTGTCACTCTCATATTTTCTCTCTAGAATTTGTGAGAATGTTTTGCAAGCTAGGCTAGAGTTTTTCTGGTGAGGTTAGAGATGAACTTTTGTTGAGTGACCCAATTCGGGCTTTTGATTCCTTGTGCTGTAATGTTCAATATCTGAATGAATTAAATCTCATCTATCTTTCATTTATTTTTCAAAATATTGTGTGTCAATTTTTATATTAGTCCAATCACGCTTTTCTTATGTAATTCTGTCACGCATTGTTTTGTTATTCAAATTATTTTACAAATTGTCTTTTACTGCAATATTGTCAAATTAATATATTGTCGATTTTGGATAACTTGTAATAATAATATTTTTAGAGTCAACATAGAGATTTAATTTATTCGATTCTTTTATTTTGTGAATCAAAACTTGAATTGGTAAACGGAACATTAGGGATTCTCAACACCTTACCGTTTTTACTACTGAATTTCCTTCATACAAATTTTCTCCTTTTTATTTTATTTGCAACAAAAATCTCAAAAACTCTTATTTTTCTTTAATTCACTTGTTTTTTTTTTCTCTAACGCTCTTATTTTGCTAATCTTTCTTGTTTATTTTGTTACCTCTCTGTGGATACAACCGCCTTTTTGTGTTACAATTGACCGCTTGTGAACATCATTTTTTAGCGTTAATCAGTAGGGTTGGGAAGCATCATTTCATCCTCAAAAAATGGCTCATCACCAAGCTCATGAAGAGCAGTGAAATCAGGAAAGTTTGATGCGGCCATTTTCTTGAAATTGATTGACCTTAAACTTTATAAATGAAAGAGCAAGAAAATGAGTGATCGTGAGAAAAAAGCTTAGAATCAAAATCAAAGAGACAAGACGAAAGATAGAATGAGAGTGATATGAGAAGTTGAGAGTGAATTATTGTGTGGGATTTAGGGTGGGATTAGGGGTATTTATAGGAGATTTTTTGGGTTTTTTTCGGATTGTGACCGTTGGGCCTGCGAATGGCCCAATGGTCACAATCAGAAAGGGCTGGAGGGCTTTTTCGCTGGCCGTTTTGCGGGCCTGGACTGGGCCGAACAAGGGCCGAATCCGGGCTTGGGCCGAACTGGGCTTGAGCCGGGCCGCAGGCCTTCACGGGCTAGGGTCGGACTTGGGCCACGAGCTGAGAAGCTGAGACCTAGCCCTAGCCCATCAAACGTGTCGGGCCGGCATGACCCGTAACAGTACCATACCGGGCCGTGCCAAATCTGGCACTGTTACATGCTGGGCCGTGCTGTCCATGGCCCATTTGACACCACTAGTAGTAGTCAGAAGTCCAAATTACATCTCTAAATTCCAAAGAATTACAAAAATCTCAATTTTAGAAGTTCTTTTGATTCCACATATGGTCATATACTATGAAATTTTCTGAATACATGACAAATTAAAAATAACAAGAAATAAATTACCCAAAAATCCCTAAAGATGTAATTCACCTCCAAATCTCAAACGAACAAAAAACCAATAAATTTCGCATGAGGTCCACCAACATGGAGTTTTTAAACTCAAAGAAAACTTTCAATTCCACTTTAAGTTTATCCTTCAACTGGGTATATAAGCAACTCGGTTAAATTTAATAAGCTCAAAGATAATTCCAAATCAATTCTAATTTCCCTTATAAAACTAATACAAATAAATTCCACAATTTCATTTTTTTCTTATGCCAAGATATTATAATTAACAGCTTATTCTCATAATCACTAATGACTCAAATGTAAAAATAACAAACTCCTATGCTATCGAATTCTGCAGTAAGCGAACTAAATTGTTCGTAGAATATTTTAACCAGTATTTTTTTTCTTTACAACAAAAAATATTATTTATCATAGGTGAAATTTTTGCAAAAGCAAATATAACAGTAATACCAAATGAATAAATGTATAAAACAATGTAACTGTGGTTCTTAAACTATAGAGTAGTAAAATTGCAACAATAGAACCAAAAAAATATTGTTAAAACAAATCAAGGGCAGGTACAACCCATATCGGTGGTTGTGCAGTAATGTTGGATACTGGTGCCGAATCCATACTATAATGCAACATATACCTTTCGGCTTCATAATCGTACACGCCCATATCACAAGAACGTCGCAAATTAATTGCTCCGTCGTCATGGGTGAAATATATGCAATTTGCCTTGCATCCAACAAAGTGGGAGGCCAACACAGAGATTGAAGAGTTGTCACCTAAGAACAAAGCACCATCACCTAAATTATTTATCTCAATCCACCTTGGCTCTGGGCTTGTCAAAATCCAATCTGAAAATTCTCACTTTTGTCGCGACGGGTGGTTAAGGTATATCATCTCATTTAAATTCTCTTTCAACTCGCAAAAACTCTCCCTTGTATGATTGTACAAGATACAACTTGTTAGAGGAATTAGTTCTAAAAGTCTTGCCCACAACCAACTTTATGTTTAAATTGCATGGATCTGAAGTATCAAAAGACACAAGTCTGCAAAAATTATCTATGGCGTAAAATCGGTTGTCATAATATAAAACGTCATCAAAATTAATCAAGTGATCCACATGAATCCTATTCCATGTTGGGTCTTTGGTAGGTCTTATAAAAGCTAACTTATGTAGACCAGGACTAAATATAACCACAATTACACAATTCATATTCAATGCTTTTAGTTTCTGTATATATCAGTTATTGATTTTGTTATTCCCAATCCCATTAACGGAGAAAGAAGAGAAAAACCATCAAGATGCAGGGAGCCAAAAACCAGAGAGAGAAAAAACCATCCTTGGGGAAATAGAAACCACAATCTGATCCAAATTGATGTGGGTTTTCATTAATCTCTCCACATGCTTAAGAAATGTCAAAAGAGTTTGGGTTTTCCGGTGATCCGATGTTTGTTGCTGCTGCAGATCGCGATCCGATGTGGGTTGGGGCCAGCCGCCTAGATCTGGACGACATCCCCTCTTTCGAGATCTGGAGTTCTCTGTTTGCCGGCGAGCCACTAATAGTCTGGGCCTTCCACGGGCCAGCCGGTGACGGAAGCGGCGGTGGCTGTGGCGCCATGGCCATTGGAGAAGAGAGATGAAAATGCAAAGGCAAAGACCGGTGATGAAATTTATTTGTTTTTTTTAGTTGAGAAATTATTCGGTGTATCACGTCCTTTTGTTTTCATAATACACCGTCTAATTAAAAATGTACCATTTACCCATTTTGTTTATGTAAGCTTCTGATAATTATATTTATCTTTTTTAATGAGTATAATATTGATTATTGAGTCAAAATCATTGTAATTATTGCACTTAATTCCTTTATTTTAATCTATTAACTTTAAACAATTAGTTTTAATTCTAAAGTACAATTATTCAACTTTATTGCGTCTATTCCATCGTACAAAGAAAAATTACATCCCTTGTTAAGTTGCTGTGTCTTTTTTTTTTCTTTTTTGAACTTAAAATATTGAACGATATTTCTTATACATTTTGATCGAACAATCTAATTTCATGCACGTGCTGAAATTTTTCTTTTTTTTTTTTTTCGAGCTTAAGTTGCTTTTCTTTTTGTAATACTATTATCTCTGTATACGTCCCTTGTTATTTTATGAAATTGACACTTTATTTAAAAGCTCAAGGCCAACAAAACAAGAAAAAGAATGATACGTATCTGTTCAACAGCACAACAACAACAAACAAACAAACAAAAAAGCAAACAAAAGCCCAAACGAGGACTTATATATCAAGATTTTTTTTCTAATACATAAGATGATAATGAACAAGAACGTACAAACGAAATGACAACAAATATATATATATATATATATATATATAATCCATGCACAAGAATCATAACCTAGTTCCTCAATTTTTTTTAAAAAGAAATATCTTAAAAAAACTAAAACCTTTTTTAACAAAACATTCAGTAGAACATTCCGTAGCTATTGTAAGTATACAATACCTTGTTCAATTTCCATGTTGCTAAGTGTTGAATGAATAGATTATTTCTTTATTGTTTTCCCTTCAAATTTTCAACCGTAAAAACCAAAGATATCAGCCCCTGTAGTAGTTGCAATACATGATAAAAGAAAAGCATGCCTTCTGTACGATGGAATAGCAAGGGACGTAATAAAGTTCAGTAATTGTATTTTAGAAGTAAAACTAATTGTTTAAAGTTAATTGATTAAAATAAGGGAATTCAAAGGACAGAATTTATAGCTGAAAAAGATAATCTCTATAGAAAGTATAAAGAATATGAAATATGGTTACTCTAACAAGGACAAAAGTATCATAAACTTCTATGCTTTTTTTTCATTCCTTAAGCTTTAAAATACTGAATATACTAGTTGAAAGTACATACATAGCACATGTACGTATTCAGTTTGTTAATTTTTTTTAAGATGTATTGAATATTGAATTTTCTTAAGGTTTGGTTTCTTTTTTATTGATTATTCTTTTAAGAGTGTAGTTTAATAAAACAATATATATTTTAGGGAAAATTTCATAAATTTTAGCATAATTGTCTTTTAGTACCTTGTAGTTTTAGTAATTTTAAATTAGTATCTTAACGTTTTAAAATATTATTTTTTAGTACCTTGAGGTCACTTTTTGGGATGTAAAATGTCAAATTTACCCTTCTCATTATTTTACCAAAAACTAATAAACTTAAAAATTTGAAAAAAAAATATATTTTTAATTTAAAGCATTATTTTTATATTCAATTTTTAAATGTTTAAAAAAATTTCAGCATTTTTCTAAATTTATTATTAATTTTTTAGTTAATTAATGAGAAGGGTAACTTTGACATTTTAAATTTCAAAAAATGATCTTAAGGTACTAAAACATATTTTTCTAAAACATTGAGGTACTAATTTAAAATTACTAAAAACACAAGGTACTAAAAGACAATTATGCTAAAACACAAGGTACCAATATGAAATTTTCCCTATATATTTTAAGTAATACACATTTTAGAAAGAAAAAAAATGCATTTTAGTGAAATAAATTAGATAGTAAAATCATTAGGGAA